TCATGCTGATGATGCTCGTTAAAAAAATAATGTGTTAATTAAATTTGTGACTGAATTCCCTGGGGGAGAATTGTATGCCTCATGTTCTGTTTTACCCGCATTCTGACATATATTTCATGTTATAGTAGTCTTAGATGATGACCCAGCACATGTCCGTTTTAAGAACACTTTCACAGCAGATTTGACAAAATGCAAAGAAGGTATCAATAGGAAATTTCTAAAAATAGCTACAGCACTCGACCCAAGCTTTAAGAATCTGAAGTGCCATCCAAACTGTGAGAGAGACAAGGTGTGGGGTGTGCTTTCAGAAATCTTAAAAGAGCAACACTCTGAACCCGTCATCAGCATGGACGCATGTCCTCTGGAATGGTGGTTGAAGCATGAAGGGACATATGAATCTTTAGTGCATGTGACAAGTAAATATCTTGTGACGCCGGCTACAAGTGTGCCATGCAAACACCTGTTCTCACTTTCAGGTGACATTGTAAACAAGAAGCGGGCAGAATTATCTCCTGCAAATTGTAAGCAAACTAGTTTGTCTGAGCAATTGGCTGAAGTAGGACTGAGTGGACTTGTAGGCTTTAAAGTTTTACATTGTTTTATTTTTGAATGCAGGTTTTTTTTGTACATAATGCTACATTTGTAAGTTCAACTTTCATGATAGATTGCACTAGAGTACTTGCATTAAGTGAATTGAAAAATGTCTTGTGTTTTTTACAGTGCAAATATTTGTAATAAAAATAAATATAAAGCGAGCACTGTACACTTTGTATTCTGTATTGTATTTCAGAGTAACAGCCGTGTTAGTCTGTATTCGCAAAAAGAAAAGGAGTACTTGTGGCACCTTAGAGACTAACCAATTTATTTGAGCATAAGCTTTTGTGAGCTACAGCTCACTTCATCGGATGCATACTGTGGAAACTGCAGAAGACATTATATACACAGAGACCATGAAACAATACCTCCTCCCACCCCACTCTCCTGCTGGTAATAGCTTATCTAAAGTGATCACTCTCCTTACAATGTGTATGATAATCAAGTTGGGCCATTTCCAGCACAAATTGCTGGATTCTTCTGCAGTTTCCACAGTATGCATCCGATGAAGTGAGCTGTAGCTCACGAAAGCTTATGCTCAAATAAATTGGTTAGTCTCTAAGGTGCCACAAGTACTCCTTTTCTTTTTGTATTGTATTTGAAATCAATATATTTGAAAATGTAGAAAACATCCAAAAAATTTAAATAAATGGTATTCTATTATTGTTTAACAGCACCATTATTCACAATTAATTTTTTAATCGCTTGACAGTCCCAGTTTTAAGCTTTGCATAGAACTTCTACTGCAGATAACATAATGGCTGCAATATTTGTCCACCTACTGTTCCCAACATTACCAGTGAAAGAGTCTTGCTCAAGCCATTTTCCTTTCCTTTCCATGACAGATTGGAAATATTAAGTGCATTGGTGACACTTTTTTGCTGATAGGGAAAGGGAGGCACTTAAAAATGACAATAAGAATGACAAAGACATTGCCTATAAACAATAGAATCTCAAAGTCACAAATGCCTCGGGAATGGAGGTAGTTCGTAACTCTGAAATGTTCGTAACTCTGAACAAAACATTTGGTTGTTCTTTCAAAAGTTTACAACTGAACATTGACTTAATACTGCTTTGAAATTTTACTACGCAGAAGAAAATGCTGCTTTTAACCATCTTAATTTGAATGAAACAAGCACAGAAACAGTCTTCTTACTTTGTCAATTTTTTTTTTAAACTTGCCCTCTATTTTTTAGTAGTTTACGTTTAACACAGTACTGTACCGTATTTATTTAATTTGGTCTCTGCTGCTGCTTGATTGCGTACTTCCAATTTGAAATGAGGTGTGTGGTTGACTGGTCAGTTCAGAACTCTGAGGTTCAACTGGTAACATCACTCTTGGACCTAGGCCCTGTCCTTCGATTTTTAAATGAGCCCATAACTTTGAGAGACAAGGTGGATGAGGTAATATCTTTTTACCTCATAATAACTTCTGTTGGTGAGAGAGAGAAGCTTTTGAGCCACACAGAGCTCTTCTTTGGGTCTGGGGAAGGATGGGGAAGGCCTGAAGCAGAGTTGTATGTAAGCCTGAAAGCCTCTCTCTCTCTCTCTCTCAGTTGGTGCACTCCAATAAATGATATTACCTCATCCACCTTGTTTCGCTCATATCCTGGGCCCAACGCTGCACACTGCTGGGCCAATACATTGCAGCACCTTAGTGCAGGCCCGATCTCCACCCCGCACACATTCAGCGGGTGCATTGCAAGGAGACCTACAGGGGAGCGGGTGCATGGCTGAATAAAGTGAGATTTTGAAGGGACATAGTAACATTACAACCCTTCAGCACAGGGAGAAGCTTGAACCCTCAGGAAGGAGGGCCCAGGGCCCACAGCTTGCTCTCCAGGAGGCAAGCCCAAAGCTGCTCTCCCAGGCAAAGGGGCAGGGAGCAGACATGCTGAACCTGCGGGCGGGGGGGGGGGGGGGGGGGGGAGAGAAATTAGGCTCGTTTTTGGCTTAATTGGTTTGTGAGTTGCCTGTTGGCGACATTTTGGTTTTATAGCTTTTTGCTTCTTTTTTCTTTTTTTGGATCAGCTCTGGCGGAGGGGGGGGCAAGTAAGGGGTAAGAGGGTGGGGGAGAGAGTCAGGGGTGTACGCCGGGGGAGTGGGGGGGTGGATCTAGTCACATAAGAGTGTTGGTCCAAGAGTGGTAGGGATTGGTTTGTTTTGCAATGGGATTAGCTCGTTTTTGGTTTATTGTGAAAGTCAGGGTGCTTATTTCCCGCCTGACAGTTGGCAGGGAGTTCCCGCCCTCTCGCTCCACTGAGAGAAGAGCTGAGGGCCGGTGCTTCCCTCTCTCCCTGCCCTGGGGGAGCCCTGGCCGACATCTGAGCGCGACGAGCTTGGCGCAGGCTCGGAGGCGCTGGGGTCCGCTCCCGGCGGTCGCTCGGCCCTGATTGGCCGGCGGCGCACCCTGACGTGCCCCGCACTCGGTAATCCTGCCCTTCCGTGTGGTCGCGCGCTGCGGGGCGGTCAAGTGTTGCTGCAACCGTCCGGCGCAGGGCTCTGCGGCGAATCCGAAGCAGCGGCTCATTGCTGCCCCCCCCCTCCCCGGTGAGTGCGCCGATCACGCTGCCCGGAGCGCAGAGCCCGTCCCTGCTCCGGGCCGGGGGGTGCCCTTGGAGGGCGCCTGACCCCGCACCCCGTGCCCAGGAGAGCGCCCGGCCCCGGCTGCTCCCCTGGGCTTTCCCAGGGCGGGTCACGCAGGGGACCTCGCCCGCCGGCCCTGGGGGAGCTTAAACCTTCTCGAGCGTGTGAACCCCCCTCCCCGCTCCTCCCCTTCCCTGCTTCCGGCTGACTCGGGCCCTGCCCCCCGCGGGCAGCCACTGGCCTCCGAGTCCATGGTACAGCCTCGCTCCGAAGCGTTGTGCCCCGCCCCCAGGGCAGTGGCTGCCTGAGGGGACGGGGTGTTTCAAGGGGGCGCCCATCCTGCCCTGCTCCTTAGGTGTGTTTAGGGGAGCACCCTCCCTCTGCCCCCTGGCGTGGTGCCCTGGCTGCAGCGTGCCCATCTCTTCTCCTCCTGCCCTGTGTGCAACTGGAGCGCCCTCCTAGGCTGCAAATCAGCCCCACTTGAAACTGTGAGAGTGAAATTGTGCAAGGTGGCTTGAAGGTACTGTAATGGGGGGCACCAAGCATAAGGTGGTAAATAGGTGGCCTGCCACGGTAAAAGACACAGGACTTCACTGTTTTCAAAGGTGTGAAGGCCTGATTTTTATTTGCTTCCCCCAAAAGGGGGAGAGTGAGGGGAAGGGTTTCGGCTTGTATTTATTTAACATTCAAAATTAAGTGCTTGTCTACACTAGCAAGTTGTACCATGTACTAGCTATGGCTAAAGCAGTAAAACCCTTCCTAGCGTGGACACAGTTACATTGGTATAGAGACACTATATACTGATGTAGCTATTCCTGTACTGGAACAGGAATAAATATACAGTTTAAGTCACCTTTCCTCTGGTATGACGGCCTCCACAATAGGGCTTTTACCAGTATAATTATTCTACTTCTAGCTGAAATAGTTATACCTGCAAAACTGGATGAGTAGACTAGGCCTCTGGTCCTGTATATCCAGAAAGTTTCTCTGAATATGGGAGAGCTAGTGAAATGGTGATGTCACAAGAGTCAAAAAATAAAATTGACAAGGGAAGGGTGCTTTTGTTTTTTTTTGCCAGACTTTTTTAACCTTTTGTTTTGTTTGTTCTTTGTAAGAACCAACAGAGTAGATGTGGGATTGAACAAATGTTCATTAAGTAAAGTAACAAATAAACTATCTGTATCATAATTATTGAAGACCTCAGTTGGCGTAGCTAAAGTACAGACTTGAAAATTCGTATGAATTTATACATTTTATTAAACAAAAGCAAATGTTACAGTAGTACTAGAAGTTACAGAACAGAAAATAAAGATGGTTTAAAAAGTTGTGTTTATAGCAGAATGAATATAAGAAAATACAGAATTTTTATAGAGAATCAATAAATTAAACGAATCAATGTCTTATCACATTACTTATCATTGGACACAGTACTAACTTATTGAATCGTTTTAACATATTTACAAAAGGGAATGTTGTTATCAACATAAACTCTGACGGGTTCTTTTTAGCCTGCCATTCACACTAATAAAGTTTGATTGCACTAAGTCAACCAATCAATTCCAAAGTTGGAATCAGGAATATAGACACTAAAAATATTATTGTTCAGAATTACCTCCTTTCAGGTAACAATTTTCATAGACATGCCTTTCTACTCTCTCACTTGGGCACATCACACATAGAACCCCAAAGTTACAGATATTGACAAACTGTCTTTGCTATAGACAAGCACAGACTTACTCACTTTCTGCAAAACATTTAACTTCAATTAATTGAGCTGTTGCTTAATAAAAGAAAGTACATCTATGAGTGTCTCTACTTACCAGGCAAAAGCAGCATGGAAGTGTATTCCCCAGCTTAAGTTTGCATTTGGCAGTAATTGGTCGTAGAAAGAGAAACTCAGTTCAGAGTTCTGTAACCGTCATCTTTTTGTGTTATGTTATTTCTGGATCTCCTTGGCAGACTTCCTCAATGCAGAACTTTGAGAGAAAGGATTAGTAGTACTTCTGAGATCATATCCAAATTATGATTCCAATCTTTCTCTGGGCTGTGTGGCTCAGAAGTGATGTGGCCACAGCAACATCTTGGTGTTTAGCTCAAGATACAATGTCCTGGTGCTCTGTTTTGGCATTTGGAAATATTCTTTATCCATGAGGATTTCTGTTGCTTTTCCATAGTGCCTCCTTGATGAAAAAGCATAACTTCTGTCATAGACCCATTCAAGTGTCTAATAATATCCAGGTGTAGTCATTCTGAAAAATCATGGTGTCTTAGGTCACATTTGCTAAAAATTCTGAGAGCCAGATATGATCCCTTCTTTAGATACTGATCTCAACATTCTCAACCTTATATTCCGGTAAATCACTTAATGTCCACTAATAAACCTCCACCTGATCATTAGACGTATTAAATACAGAAATTTAATCAAACGATAATGTAACTTTTTAGTAGAGACTCCTAAAGCAGTTTCATATCCTATTTCAAATGACATCATGTTATGCTAATTTGTATTTTAGCTGTCTCGTAGCTGGGTATATTGTTACACGCTTCCACTCGATACAAAATTTGTTAATCCATATTAATGGTTAATATAATTAATATCTACAATTTTTGGTGACTCCAGTTGGTCTCAGAGCTCTGGATAATAGCCATTAACTTAACCACAATACTAATTTGTTGCTGATGATAGCTTGTGTTAAAGATTCAGCTCCCTTGAAGCCCATTAAATTAACGGGTTAGAAGTTATAATCATCTGTAGGGTTTTCCCGAGGTCCTTCCTTAAAAATGTGGGAAACTAAATTTGATATTCCTGCTTGCTTTTTATCTTTAAAGAACAAAATAAAACTTTCGTTCTTTTTAGATCATAAGCAAACAAGTAAGATACAAGCCCTATCTTATATTTTTAATACTTTGCAGATCACATTCAAATAGTTCTGTGGCCTGGAAACTCTCCTGTACTCCTGTGTGCATCTTAGATCATTGTCTAATGCCAGAGTCCCATTGAATTGAGAGGATCATTGATTGATATAGATGTTAAACATCCAACAGTGCTTTTTATAAGAGGACTGGTGTGCCTTGTTGTCTTCAGACAAAATTTCCCCTCCCCAAGATGTACCAGATGGCTAACTTCCACCTCTCCATGTGACTACAATTCAGTGCACTTTGTATAGAGCAATTATCAAACTTTTTCATAATGTAGCTTGCATTTTAATACATAGATTGTGGAGGACCACCTCTCTTCCTACTTAAGATTACACCACATTTCTGTGACAAGTATTTTAATTGCTTACATGGAAAGGTTAAGTTTTTAAGGCATTTTTGCTTGTATCAGTTCAGTTTGGAAGCAGGAATGAAGGAAGACAGCATATACAATGAGAGCTGCAATGTGGTCCATTATCCACAGTTGAGAACCTCTGGTATACCATTTGTAGAGCCTTTAGGTTCCTTTAGGATTTTTTTATTAATAGAGCATATATTCCTACAAGTTAGTAACATAAATTCCATGAATTCTAACTGCCGAACAAATCTATTCATATTGATAGAAATTGATTATAACTATTAAGGTGGCAGTGATCTTAAGAGTTAAAGCAAAGATTTCATTTTGACAAGTGTTTAAACTTTTATTTTTCAGAAATGAGATAAATGTGACAAAAGAGAACATAAAAATTAAAATTCAGATAGTTTAATTTGTCACACTGTATTGATACAGTTTGAGGTGATACATACAGAATAATAAGTAAAAAACCCCATTTTAAAATTTTTTTGGCTGGGAGTCTTCTTTTTTTTAAATCCTTTTTCGCGGGAAAAAAAGTATAAGATCCTGGGATTTGATTACTCTGCATCTGATAAGTACTTTTCTAGTGTTCAGTTTTCAATTTCAGTTTCACAAGTTACCGATTTTTATTACATCAGTGAAGACAACTTGCTCTCTAATGCAAAATCTTAATGGTGGCCTCAAACACTTCATTGTTTCAAGGCCTAAGGTACTATTTTAAAAGGAACCGTCTATCTTTTGGTTTTAAATTTTTTACATACTCATTACTACTGAGGGCATTCTGTGCCAAAAAAATTAAAAATTCTGTGCAGAAAATTTTAAAATTCTGCAAATTTTATTTGTCAAGTAAATATGGAAGCTTCAGCATGACATGTAGAGCATAGAGGTGGTAGATCACTGTGCAGCTCCCCCAACCCCCAGGTCATGGATTCAGCAGTAAGGCTGCACCCAACCCTGACACAGTGCAAGGACTGGGCCTGTTCCAGAAACACCCCAGAGCCCTGCCCCTCTGTGCCAGGTGCACCAGGTGTGGGCAGGCAGGCAGACTCAGCAAGGCAGGATCGTAGTGTGGGGGGAATCCAGGTGTGGGTTGAGAGGGTTCTGTGTGGGGCAGTGCGGGGGAGGGATGTGGATGCACAGGGGCTTGTTGAGGGTGGGGGGGGTCTGGGTGCAGTGGTAATAGGACTCTGCAGGGGGTCCAGGTGAAGGTGGCTGGGACTCCACTGGGGGGTCTGAGTGTGGGCGGAATAGAGCTCAGCAGCGGGGTCTGAGTGTGGGGAGCTCAGTAGGGGAGCCAGATGCTGGGGGACTAGAAAATAATATCTGCGTATTGTTTATGGCTTGTAAGGAAAAGGCCCCAATCAGCAAGTAAAAGAAAAAAAAAGCTGAGAGAATAATAAGTAGTATTACTTGCAGTGCGGGAAGGATGTTGGTTCAAAAGTAACTAGTAAACTAAAGAGCTGCAGTAACAAGACAAATAAAAACTGTCTGGAAAAGAAACAAGCACAAACCTTCTTACTGTTCTTTTGGCCAGCAAGAAGGTGGGGAAGAGATAGGGAGGAAAGGCCTTGAGAAGAAAGGAGGTTGTAAATCTTATCTGGATTAAGATTAGAAATAAAGGTTAATTGTCTCACACTGGTTTTTAGCTGAAGCCAGTAATTGGCAATGATATCATTTGTTAAAGGGTATAAAAAGTAAATTCTTAAAGGGTTCATTGCTAATACCTACCTGACCGCTTGGGAGCCAACCAATATGCATCTAAGCAGCCCTGGGTTTAGGCTGTTTGTAAGTATCTTGATCAAATTCTTATCAATGTTTTATTATTGTTTGGATATAGTAAATTGCTTATTATTTAGGCTTTTGGGGCATGTTTAGAGCAATTGGATTTAACAGAGGAATTTATGGCTAAATTAGTTTTTGGTGGTTTTCCATATTAATATCAATTTCAAATAGGGCTGTTGATTAATTGCAGTTAATTCACGCGATTAACTAAAAAAAATTAATCACGATTAATTGCAGTTTTAATAGCACTGTTAAACAAGAGACTACCAATTGAAATTTATTAAATATTTTGGATGTTTTTCTACATTTTCATATATATCTTGTATTTTGTGTTGTATTTGAAATCAAAGTGTATATTTTGTTTACAAATATTTGCACTGTAAAAATGATAAACAGAAGAAATAGCACTTTTCAGTTAATCTCATACAAGTACTGTAGTGCAATCTTTGTCCTGAAAGTGCGACTTACAAATGTAGATTTTTTTTGTTGTTACATAACTGCACTCAAAAACACAACACTGTAAAACTTCAGAGCCTACAAGTCCACTCAGTCCTATTTCTTGTTCAGCCAGTCATGAAGACAAACAAGTTGGTTTACATTTACAAAAGATAATGCTGTCTGATTCTTATTTAGAACATCACCAGAAAGAGAACAGGCATTTGCATGGCACTTATGTAGCCAGAATTGCAAGATATTTGCATGCTAGATATGCTAAACATTCGTATGCCCTTTCATGCTTCGGCCACCATTCCAGAGGACGTGTTTCCATGCTGATGATGCTCGTTAAAAACAGGGCTTTGGAGCTGTACTTCAGCTCCGCTCCAGCTCAAGGCAAAAAACCTTCAGCTCCGCTGTTCTGGAGCTGCTCTGCGGGCTCCACTCCAAAGCCCTGGTTAAAAAAAAAAATAGTGTGTTTATTAAATTTGTGACTGAACTCCTTGGGGGAGAATTGTATGTCACCTGCTCTCTTTTACTCACAATCTGACACATATTTCATGTTATAGCCGTCTCGGATGATGACCCAGCACATGTTGTTTATTTTAAGAACACTTTCACTGCAGAGTTCACAAAACGCAAAGAAGGTACCAATGTGAGATTTCTAAAGATAGCTACAGCACTCAACCCAAGATTTAAGAATCTGACGTGTCTTCCAAAATCTGAGAGGGATAAGGTAGGGAGCATGCTTTCAGAAATCTTAAAAGAGCAACACTCCGATACAGAAACTACAGAACCCGAACGACCAAAAAAGAAAATCAACCTTCTGCTGGTAGCATCTGACTCAGATAAGGAAAATGAACATGCGTCGGTCCGCACTGCTTTGGATGGTTTTCGAGCAGAGCCCATCATCAACATGGCCGCAAGTCCCCTGGAATGGTAGTTGAAGCATGCTCATCTGGCACGTAAATATCTTGCGATGCTGGCTGCAACAGTGCCGTGAGAACACCTGTTCTCACTTTCAGAGGACATTGTAAACAAGAAGGGGGCAGCATTATCTCCTGCACATGTAAACAAACTTTTTTATTTGAGTGATTGGCTGAACAAGGAGTTAGGACTCAGTGGACTTGCAAACTCTAAAATTTTATATTTTATTTTTGAATGCAGTATTTTTGTACATAATTCTATATTTGTAAGTTCAACTTTCATGATAAAGAGATTGCATTACAGTACTGATGTGAATTGAAAAATACTATTTCTTTTTCAGATGCATGGAGTGGAAAATACAGGAAGCAGGTATAAATACACAGCACATGAAAAAATGGGAGTTGCCTTACCAAGTGGGGGATCAGTGCTAACGAGCCAATTCAGTTAAGGTGGAAGTGGCCTATTCACAACAGTTGACAAGAAGGACATAACCACATTACATCAGCCACACCATCAGGGACTCATTCACCTACACATCTACCAATGTGATATATGCCATCATGTGCCAACAATGCCCCCTACCATGTACATTGGCCAAACCAGACAGTCTCTGTGCAAAAGAATAAATGGACACAAATCAGACATCAAGAATTATAACATTCAAAAACCAGTAGGAGAACACTTCAATCTCCCTGGATACTCAGTAACAGACTTAAAAGTGGCAATTCTCCAACAAAAAAACCTTCAAAAACAGACTCTAATGAAAAACTGCGGAACTGGAATTAATTTGCAAACTGGACACCATCAAATTAGGCCTGAATAAAGACTGGGAGTGGATGGGTCACTACAAAAACTAATTTCCCTCTGCTGGTATTCACACCTTCTTGTCAACTGTTTGAAATAGGCCACCTTGATTATATTGGCCCATTAGCATTACAAAAGTGATTTCCCCCCACCCCTTGGTATCACCCCTTCTTGTCAACTGTTGTGAATAGGCCACTTCCACCTTAATTGAATTGGCTTGTTAGCACTGATCCCCCCCCCCCCACCTCCACTTGGTAAGGCAACTCCCATCTTTTCATGTGCTGTGTATTTATACCTGCCTACTGTATTTTCTACTCCATGCATCTGATAAAGTGGGTTTTAGCCCACAAACGCTTATGCCCAAATAAATTAGTTAGACTCTAAGGTGCCACAAGGACTCCTTGCTGTTTTTGCTGATACAGACTAACATGGCTATTTCTTTTGTTTTTTACAGTGCAAACACTTGTAATAAATAAATAAAAAGTGAGCACTGTACACTTTGTATTCTATGTTGTAATTGAAATCAATATATTTGAAAATGTAGAAAACATCCAAAAATATTTAAATAAATGGTATTCTATTATTAACAGTGCGATTAATCATGTTTAATTTTTTTAATCGCTTAACAGCCCTAATTTCAAATATTAATAATTCCAACATGGCCACATTAGGTTAAGTCACTAATACAGACTTCCAAGTCTAAGTAGCAAGTAATTGTCAGACTTGGAAATAGAAGCTACATTATCTGACTCTTATTCCCCTTCAAGGAGGAACGTTCTCTTTAGATGTTTGTGTGTGTGTGTGACCTGCTGAATTGATATGAAAAAGCCAGGAGAAAATACAGCACCCCCTAGATGAGTCATAGACACCTTCAGTTTTTCTGTTCTTATATCATGATCCAACGGTTGGAAGTCGAAGCTAGACAAATTAAGATGGGAAATCATAAATAAATTATTGACAGTGAGGGTGATACCAGAGACTCCATTTTAAAATCCCTAGATCCCTGGTTTCCATTTTAAATAAGCAAGAGTCATTCCATCAATAGATGGAAGCTGCAAGTCACAGAGCACTAAATGTAGAATTGTCAGGAAAACCAAATTGGTGAGGAAAAAGGTGTGAAATAACCAGTGATTCAGCAAATTATACCACTATGAGGTAAATAACAGTGGCAGGCTAAAAATAGAACTGACGGCACAATAAGGTAAACAAGTAGGATGATGTGTCTAAAAATAGAATTGAGAAATGGTATAAAGGTCAGTGTGTCAGTTAAAAGCTGACAGTTAAGAAGAGAACACTCTCGGAAAAACAGCAGCAGAGGGAGTCTTGTCCTGTCACAGGAGTTGAGCAGAGAGCTGAGAAGAGAGAAGAACTGCTGCCATCAATGACCTGTGGAGACTGATTACCCTCACAGAACATGGCCAGCTCAGCTTCACCACTAATTGGTGAGTGTGCAGTAGCATGGACAGAGAGAGCGAGCACAGGAGAGACAATGCAGCATAGTCAGCAAATGGAGTAAGTCTGTTAGACGAAGTTATAGTCATAGTTATAGTACTGTGTGCGTGGGTGGGCATTAATGAAGTTGTGTTAATTGTGGGGGGAATTTACATATATAAGACTTAAAGAACATATAAGAACTGCTGTCAGTGACCTGTGAAAGACCGGCTATCTGATGTGAGGTGCAGCTACCTAGGATCATCTCCACTGTATGTTGTTGCTATTTGGGGTGCTCTTTAATTTATTGTAGGGATTTGTTTTTTGGTGGTGGTTGTGTCAGGGATTGTTGTTTGCACCAATAAAAAGATGTCTTGTTGTGGAAAGAGTACTGCATGTGTCAGTCATTTATCGGAAAGCTATATCTGTGTCTTCCAAGTATTTCCTTAGTCACCCTGGAGACCCATAATTAATGAGAACAGATTTTAGTTACATTCTGGGGGTACCCTTCATCCGTTTTCAGGGTAACAAGCGTAATTAACCATTGGAACAGTTTCAAGAGTGGTGGTTGATTCTCCATCGCTGACCATTTTTTAAATCAATATTGGATGCTTTTCTAAAAAATCTGCTCTAAGAATTATTTTTGGAAAGTTCTCTGGCCAGTGTTATACAGAAGGTCAGACTAGGTGATCCTTGGAATCTCTGGATCTTTATTCTTCCTTGAAACTTAACTTGCTGTCTAATATGTTGAAAAGTGACTGTTTTTCTAGCAGTGATCTAGATTTGCTTATAGATGGTATAACCTGTTTATACTAGGTCATGAATTAAAATGGCATGAGATAGAATAATATTTCCTTCCTCTCCCCCACATTCCTTTTACGTGATTACTTTGTGACAGAAAAATGTGAAAGAATGTCTTCAGGATAATGCAATACAATTTCTTTGGCTGGGTTTTAGGTGCCCAAACCCCATTGAAATTAAGTGGGAGTTGAGCATCTCATTCCTTTGGGGTTTGTAACCAGTTAATAATTTGTTGGCACCTAACACAGTTTGTGGCAACCCATGTGGTTAATATGCATTAACTTTAGAAAACTGCGTGTCTACTTTGCAAATGTCCTAGGCTGTCACGCGGTTGTTAGCTTGGAACTCAGTCATCGCACTTACTTTGAGGCGTAAATGATGCTCCTAGTTCTGCCTACATAACCAGATAAGCAAGTTGACTTTCCACCTAGCCCTCTTTGGTTGGACATCTGGAATGTATTGCCCTACTTATTGCTGCTCTGTATGCATATCTGCTAAACACGCTACCTCTCCTTTCTGTAAAGCATTACAGGATAGTTGCCCAGTTTTTCTTAGGGTTGGTGTGACATTCTATACCCGGGGGAGTGTGCTGTAACCCCCATATTCCTCATTTTCATATAATCATGATTTTACATATAAAGCATACCTTGTAAGGTATCAGGGAAAGGTTATGATCTGCTGAAAGTAGTTTCTCTATCCATATATATCATTAATAAATATGAAGTAATGAGAATTATGTAGTATGGTTGTCACTAAAACATGCGGTAAGTTGGGGGACTCAGCCAGATATTAGCGCCCCAGAGGCAACAGCAAGTAAAGTAACCAGCGCCCGGACAGGGTGTCAAACAACCCATCAACAGCCATTGTCCAGCAAGGGAGCTACAATGCAATGACTCACCTGCATGAGGCCATGCCAAGGGAATTGCTCAACCTTGCTTGGAGAGACTCGGTAATACTCACCTGACTCTGAAAGGGGGGGGGAGGGGGCAAAGCCAAGGGGGAGGAAAGGACATGATAAAAGGAAGAGATGTTTGCCATGCTCTTCTCTCTCTTCCACCTACACCTGCAGATACCACATCAAGCGACTGAAGCACTGATCAAAGAGGAGAGCCTGGCTGAAGAGCAGCCAGCCAGCCTGTGGTGAGAAGCATCTACGTTTGTAAGGGCATTGACAGTGTTAAGATCAGCTTAGAATGAGTTTTGCTTTTATTTCATTTGACCAAATCTGGCTTATGTTTTGACTTATAATCACTTAAAATCTGTCTTTATAGTTAATACGTTTGTTTATTCTACCTAAAGAGGTGCGTTTGGTTTGAGATGTATCAGTGGCTCTCCTTGGGATAATAAGCCTGGTACATATCAATTTCTTTGTTAAATTGACAAACTTATATAAGTTTGCAGCATCTGGCGAGCATAACTGGACACTGCATGATGGAGATGCCTAGGGCTGTGTTTGGGACCAGAGATATTGGCTAGTGTCATTCAGTTGCAAGTAGTTGGGAGCAGCTTACATGCCAGAGGCTGTGTGTGAACAGCCCAGGAGTGGGGGTTCTTACAGCAGAGCAGGATAAGGCTGGATCCCAGAGTCAAGGACTGGAGTGACCTAGCAGATCACCGGTCCGGATAACACCAGAGGGGAACATCAAAGTTGGATGCAAGGAATAGACCGCTTCTAAGACTTCTGTGTCTTTTAGTATTAGACTGCATTAAAAATCTATGTTGCATGAACTAAAAAAGACTTCTAATGACGTTTGTTCCTCAAGTGCATTCTCCACAACTTGTGTTGAGAAAGGGATGCCCAACCTCTATGATATTGTAAAGGCAGCCTTTGGGCATTCTTACATATCATTTTACATTGTTACAGATTTGACAAGGATTTCAGTTTTGGCCAGCCAGTCCTCTGTATTGTGCTTCATTAATACCAGCCTTTCGGGAGTCCCAGTTCTTTGTATGTTGTGTATCTGAGTTCTGTTGGTGTTTTCAGTGTCAGGGCTGGTTCAGAGAATGGCATAGGAAACTCTTCTTAATGTACTTTGACTGGGAAACCCTAGAAAACAAGCATGTTTGTTTGCCAAATTACTGAATTTTGTGAACAAGTAATCATGGCACAATTTAATTTTGATAGTTTGTAATATTCAAGTAAATTTAAGCACATTATTTTGAAGGTAGTAAACTGTTTGAGACCTCACAGAGACTTCTACTGAATATTAGAGAAATGAAGGGACAAGTTTATAAATGTGTATATTAATAATATACAGATAAAATTCTACTGTAGGTTTTTTACCTACTATTTTGTTGCCAGTCTTTTGATAACATTCCATTCTGTATTTTGTGAATTGGGATGATTTGTATTTTACTTTGTAAAGAGCTGCCACTGTTAGCAACAATGCCAGACCCAAGCCCAGATAAGAGGAGGGTTCTGCAGCTGGGTTAGCTACACACTCATGTAAAACCTTACTGCACCAGAAACAGTTCACTTAAACCAAAAGTTGAGGAGAGTAGGTGCAGATAGAGCTCAAAAGCCAAGTAGTCAGATCTCAATGAAAGCTGAGAACTTGAGACATCAAATCCTGAAGACCAAGTCTGTAACAAGAATAGGGACGTGGGGAATACATGTCCTTTGTAGAGTATAGGAAAGCTGGCACATGTTACATGAGAATTGAAAAAATACCATCTGATACTTTGCATCAGTGAGATGAAAAGGTGAGAGAGTAGCAAGATGGTGTCTGGTGGCGCTATAATATTATTGATGAGGAAGAATGCACAAAATAGGTATAGGAATTATTCTGCATAACATTACAGTGAAGAAGACCGTGATGACTTGGGAGCCACTGAACGACCAAATAGTACCAGCCAGCTGCAAATAAGACCTTTCAAATATACAACAATCCTTGTCTATGCACCAACACATACAATAGATGACACTGAAAAGGATACTTGCTGCACCTGCTCATAGAATGTATTGGATGACATGCCTAACCATGACATCAAATTGATGATAGGTGACTTAAGTGCACAGATTGGCAACAGCTCTGCTGATTGGGAAAGAGTGATAGGCACAGAAGTGGAAGGCATCTGAACTGATAATGGTAACCAGCTCATGAATCTCTGTGGCACAAACACTCTAAATATAAGAGGCAGTTTCCTCCAGCAGGAGGTTTTACAGTCTCACAAGGACATCAGCAGTGAATGCAACTGTCAACCAGATAGAACATGGGTGAATATCTAAGAGATGAAATCTTTTTTGGGGGGTGTCACAGTCATCAGAGCAGCAATGTTGGCTCAGATCATTATATTTTAGTGTTATAGATGTAGATAAGTTCAGAGTCAAAGAAATGCAGATCAGATTGCACTTAGCAACTGTTCCAGTGTTTTACAGGATCAGGCTGATAAAAGTGTGGACAACAGAGGGCCAAACTGGAAGAAAACTGTATAGAGACAGCAGAAGTAGTAGTGGAGTGCAGAAGAGTGCAGAACAAAGATGCTTGGATTACATCTGGAACATAGGCAGTGATCGATGAACAGGCAGCACTGAAGGTGAAAAAGTAACCCTGCAAGGCGCGGGCAGAACTGTTCGAGGCAGGTGCAATATATGGAGAAAAAGACAAAGAAGAGATGTAGGCAAGATAAAAATGATTTCACAAGAAGCTGCGGAGGCAGAGGAAGCAGCACAGAAGTGGGGAGACTTCAAGCAGCTCTATAGAATAATGAAAGACTTTGCCAGAAAAATCAGACCATTGCAGGTGATGTCCATGAGAAGCTCTGAGGCAGATGCTGAAAATGCATGAAGAACAAGCTGGACTCTGGAAAGAACATTTTGGTTCCATTTTAAACTGTCCAGAGTTAATGATCATGCACAGGTTTGAAGGAAATGCCAAGTCTAAGTTAGAAATAGAAGAGGAACCAATAACACCTGATGAAATTAAAGCACCCATCAAAGGCTTCAAACAAGGAGACGCTACTGGGTTTGACAGAATTCAAGCAGAGATACTAAAGGCAGAAGGTGAAGTTTTGATTGAGTAGCTAACAAAACTCTAACAAAATATGGGTGAAAGAACAAGTGGTACAACACTGGAAAGATGGCATCATTGTGACATTGCCAAAAAAAAGGTGATCTTAGTGCACGAACTGGCAAGGTATTGTACTGCTATCTCAATCCTTGGCAAAGTATTGGCTACTGTTATGCTGAATAGAATCAAGAAGCAGTGGA